AAGAAATGGTGTCGACGTTTTTAGCTTTTATTGCTGTTTACCTAATATGTATTGTAATATTGGCTATCCAGCCTGGCTAAACATTCTCTCCGACTCTGCAAAATTAAAGTTAATTAACGTAATATGCGTTTATATGCACAGTAGGCAGACTAATGCCTATGGGTGTATGTAAAATTCTTCTTTGAAATTCTTATATAAGTTTTATTTATTTAATTTTTGTTTTTTTAAATTTACATGTTTATATTATACATTATGGTTCTATTTTTCCTTTATATTTTAACAAACTTTTGGTAATTATTTTAGTTAAGCTTTAAATTGTTAGTATTTATATATACATCTATATATGTATGTATATACATTTCAAACTAAATCTTCTGTCTTACAAAAATTTGTAAAAAATTTTCGTAATTATTTTAGATTAGATATCAAATATAAGCGCTTATACATTTAACATTAAAATCTAAATTTTCCTTTTTACAATAATTTTTTTTTGGTTAACATTTATATATACTACATTATCATCAGAGAACGTAGATTATAGAGAAGGTCCAACTACGGACCAGCGTGTGAATTTTCAAAACCTAACATATACATAGAGCGTATTTCACCACAGCTAGCTTGGAAGGGGAAATTTTAACAGTAGCCCGTGAACAGAGTTGAGCATTCAATGAAAATTATCCTCAGAAGTTTGCATTGATATTACAGCCGCATGTTACTCTTTTGGCTAATAATTTTATACGCGAATATGCAATCCTATTTATTGATATGAATATCATTATGCTATTTTTTATGAATGCATGCAAACCGATAAGACTCTATTAGATTATGTAATTTAAAAATAATATTTATAGTCAGTTTGGGCATTTAATAATATTATATAGTTTTTACATAAAATGCATTCCTAATAAATAGTTTGCATGATAATTGTTACTAGTAGTGATTAAATTTATTAAAACATATACATCCATACATCTTTTAGCATATTAATCTTACATAATCATATGTATGTATATTTGCACAAGCGCACTTGAATCTACGGGTTCAGAAATTCAAATCATAATTTTATCACTTAGCAATACAGTATATGTGCGCGCATTGATTTATATGTTCACATATAGGTATATATATATATACACAAACCAACCTACATACATATGAATATCCGTACACACGTAAATATGTCATCCGCAAAAACTACAAAAATTGTTCTACAAAAAACAACAATCGTCACAAGCCAAATAGCCGAAGCCCAAATTTATAGTAAATCGCACAACAACAACATTTTCATTCATAAACGCAGGCGTACTTTCAATAAGCAACCTCGCTTCATCTCCCCGAGCATGCGTTTGCCTACAAGCGTTTTTCCGCGACGATGACAAAAGCTAAAAATCATGAATTAAACAAACTTCTGATGTTCCCTCTAGAAGGGAAAAGTTGCAACCCCGCAAATCTACAAAACACAGAAAAAATTGACAAAACTGGCAACCAAGCTTTTGTTGATTTAAAATATTTTACAATTTTAAAATATTTTTTCGTGCCTCACAAAAATCTGCGTCAATATGTATGCATGCTTATATATAAACATACATATTTATAATGATTTGTTGGCAAAGCTATAAGAGCGGCAAGGAAAGCGGTGACAATCGACGGCCGTTCGTTATTTATTTTCGGCATAGCTCGGATTTTCTACCAACAACACAATGTTGTGACGCTTTGTCGTCGCGTCAGTCCTTCGACACAGTGACTCTTTGCCAAGAAAACAAAAAACGAAGATTTTGCATGAAACAATGAGTGTACATATTAACATACATACGTTGCATATAGACAAATTAACAATATTATGTACTTTCATATTTGTTTACATGCACACATAATTATACATATGTATATATTTGTATAAGAATATTTGGGACCGCTAGGTCTTTTCTTATCGGGGTATGTCAAGCAAGAGGTGTATAAAATCAAACCCACAAATCTGACTGAACTGAAGCAGTCCATTAAATAGATAATTGAGGCAATCCCGAATTAGGTGTCGCATATGCGTGGTTGAGCATGGAGGAATAATTAAAATGACTAAAAAGAAACTTATTACGGTTTAATTTTGCAGCACGATTCGTTAGCCACCCTGTATAGGCAGAATATCTTCAAATTATATGCAAAATCGTTTGCGCATTGTAAATATACGAATATGTAAGAGTACATTTCTTAACATTGAAGTTGGCATTACTTTTCTCAATTAACATAGAAAATGCTCAATTCTGCTATTTTTCAGTCCCCTGATGTTATTTGTGGCTAACAATTTTCTGTGGTGAAACACGCTCATCCTTTTCAGTAACCCTCCTAAAAGGGTGAAACACGTTCATCGTTTTCAGTTCCCCTGCGAAAAGTGAAATATTTTGATAATGGCTGCACTGTGAACCTTCTCTATAATCTACATTCTCTGTTATCACATTTTGACCTAAACAAAAAATGTTATAATAATTACTTAAATAAAGTAAAAAAGAATATTGTAGTAATCCAAAATCGTTTTATGATTTCGTCAACTCCAAACGCAGGATTTCCAAATGTCCGTCCGCGATGAAATAGAAATCTATCATATCAACTGACAATGTTATTATATACAATATGTTTGCAGAATTTTTCAGGTCAAACTACTGTAATAATTCTTCCAAAACTTTTTCTTATCAGAACGGGCTGTGTTCGAATACTTAAATTAACGCTCCAATCATTTCTGAAGAAGACGTCCTACTTACATTAAATAAGTTAAAACCATCATTTAGTTACGGCCCAGACATGATACCCTCATGCTTCCGAAAAAATAGTGCCAAATATATTAACTTGCCTTTGACAAGGATATTTAATTCCTCTCTTAAACACGGTATATTTCCTTCAATATGGAAACAGTCATTTATATTTCCTTTGCATAAAAGTGGACTTAGATCCAACATTGAAAACTATAGAGCTATCGCAAAACTATCAGTTATACCTAAACTTTTTGAAGCTATCATCACCGACCATATAACTTTTTCGATTTCTCCGTTAATTTCCTCATCTCAGCATGGATTTCGTAAAGGGAAATCGACTCTAACCAACTTGCTTGAATAAGTAAACCATGTATAATCGGGTTTTAGGGAACATAAGCATACGGATGTTATTAGACAGACTTTAGCAAAGCTTTCAATAAAGTAAACCTCTCGATACTCATACATAAACTTGATCTGCTGGGCTTTCAGCCAAGATTTCTTCAATGGGTAGCCCCCTATCTGTTTAATAGAACACAACGAGTGATATTTGAGGATACACCTTCAGGTACAATTAATGTTGCTTCAGGTGTTCCGCAAGTCATCTTGACCCGATTCTGTTCTTGTTGTTTATTAACGATATCTCTTCAGTAATTGAATTCTCAAAAATTTTATTATACGCTGACGACGTAAAGCTTTTTAAATCATACACTTCAACTGAGGAAAGGTGTCTGTTGCAAACCAACTTAAACAATATGGTTGCACGGTGTGATAGAAATGATTTGCCATTGAATCTAAATAAATGTAAGACGATGTGCTTTTCCCGTAGACCTGTGCACCCCTCTTCTTATGTAATAAAACACCATATTCTGGAGCAAGTTTTCAACTATTTTGATTTGGGAGTTAATATGGACCCTAAGCTTAATTTTCGTCTTCATATTGACACCATGATCTTGAAAGCGAAAGCTTAAACGTTGGTCTAAAGAATTTAGAGATCCGTATATTACTAAAACACTTTATACAACTTTGGTTAGACCCATATTGGAATACGGCTCTGTTGTATGAAACACTAACTCCATTCTGACAAGTTAGAATTTGGTCAAAAACAATTTTTACTTTTTGCCTTAGCGCATTTCCGATGGGATTCCAGGGTAAGTCTACCTGCATACACTAGTCGTTTAAAACTTATTATTCTACCTATACTTTCTAGTCGTAGGGAAATGCTTGGCATAATATTCTTAGTGAAAATCTTGGATGGAACAGTTTGCAGTTCTTTTCTCCTGTCTGAAATTAAATTTAATATCCCGATTCGTTTTTCGAGACAGCTTAGACCTTTACTGTTAAAATTCTGTAGATCAAATTTTGAACTTTGTCATGATTTTAATTCTCATTCCAGCACATTTGACTTAGCTGACTTACTGTTCAAAATTAAAAAGCTTTTATTGTTTTCTCTTAATGAATGAAAATGTAACAATTTATTATATTGTACCTATAAATCATAGCTGTTGAAATTTTTGTTTCTGTAGCTGAGCAGTTTTAGATCTCAACACTTAAAAAACTCTCTTGTCTTTTCTGACTCGGCTAATTCCGCACGTATGCGGATTGCGACCCTCGTACATATACATATGTTACGATTTTCTATGATTTGTACATAATTGCATTTTTTATGTTCTCACTTTTTGCTTTGCAATTTGTAAGTAGGTACATATATACATACACATGTACACATACATAATACATATTTTCATACCTACGCCTGCATAAGCATATACGCATATGCTTACATATGTACGTAGGTAATGAGAAAATAAGCACAAGACGGGATAAAAACCCGTGCTAGCATAAGATTAAGCATAGCTAAATGAGTTACGCCTCCCCCCTCCATACGCGCCACTGAGCGCCAACACACCACACCAACACGATCCACAAGAAGACTCCACCCACTAACACACACCATCACACCACGCAGACATCACACCCCACAGACACCCACACATACACATCACATCACACAACTCTACACAACTCAACCTTCAAAAGGGGCTAACAGAGGACAAAACGGGTCCTTTTTTCGTTAGCGATCAAACCGAAGAGACGTACGAGATATTCCGCCCGTGCTACCCTTTTGTATACGCCGTGTTTTTATTTTAAAGTGAAAAAGGTGAGTGAAACGAATAAATAAAGCACATTATTAATAGAGCATTAGGAGTTTTAAGAGTGAAAATAAAATTAAATTTAAAATTAAATTACATAAAATCAAATTTGTTAATTGGACATTAATCCTTTTTTTGGGCTGGAACATAATTTGGCGACCGTGACAGGACTATATGTTCTAAATTTAATATTTCGATCAAAGAAAGCCAATAGATTAATGTCTAATTTTCATTTAAATTAAAATTCGTTTCTATACTGGGAAGAGCTGGCTCTGCGTTTGTTCAACCACACGAAATTCGCCTGCACTATATCATCGTCTGTAGCAGTGTACAGGCAACATTCTGTGTAAGCGCAGATACTAACTTTTGCCATATATCATCGTAGTATCCACTGTAAACGTACATACAGATTACACGTGGTTTTCAACATTCATTCAAGACCTTCTTTTCATCAACATCTGTCGAAGTTACCGACAGTTAGTCAACTCGTCAAAATCACAGTGCAAGTATACGGGACTTTTGCAGAACAGTTTCATCAGATTGCAGATCTGCTTTTGCTACATCTACATCAACATCATCATATTCTTCATAGTTCAGGTACTCGTATATATTTTATTTTTGCCTTCAATTGCCTAATAACAGTAAAGCAGATATGCCTAACATGGCTGATGAGGAACAATCACCTTTGTCCTCGCTAATTCAAACATGTTCAACGATTCTTCGCAACCTACATAGTATAAAGCAACGAATTGCTTGTGAAGAAGTCGATTACAAATTGTTGAGTCCTACTTTCAACATCTTTGCGACGTTCAGAACAATATTGAAGCTCTTTCTCCGTCAGACGAATCAAGATCAGAAGTTGAAGAAACGTACATTTCAACAAAATCTAAAATACTTTCGTTAATCAACCCCAGAAACCGCGTTTCTGAGTTGAACACTAGCATATTCACCGCAACGGTATTTGGAAATACTAGTCATCATAATCGATTGCCGTTGCTCAAATTGCCAAAATTTGACGGCAAATATGCGGAATATAAACGCTTTTTCCGCACCTTTGCAACATGGTGCACGATGACCCAACAATACCAAAGGTGGACAAATTTAATTATATTTTGAACTGTCTTTCAGGACCAGCCCTTAGCGTAATCGAACCCTTTCAGGTAACCGAAGAAAATTACCCGAAGGCTATACAACGGCTCAAAGAACGATACGACAATAAAGTATTGATTTTTCAAGATCACATTATATCGCTTTTCAATACTCCAGTTATGAAAAGATCTGACGCAGCAAGTCTACGTAATATCATTGACAATGTTACAGCGCTGCGAGGTTCGTTACTCTCGTTGGGCTCAGAAGGCGATATAATGAATTCAATGCTAATTCATATCGTCTTAACTAAAATTGATTCTGATTCAAAATCGGCATACAATCAGAAGCAAGAGTTTGACAACTTGTCATCATGGGACGATTGCTACAAGTGGTTAAATCGGCACTGTCAGTATTTAGAAACATCTTCAAACGGGGAAAACTCAAAGGTAACACAGCGAGATTGTAAGCTACTCGGTAAGAAAAATGCAAATTCATTCAATAACGCGATGTCAAATTGCATACATTGCAATAACGCAAAACATAGTCTAAACAATTGTCCTTCATTTCTACAGTTATCAGCTAAAATGCGTTTTGATTGGGTGAAGCAAACAAGTGCTTGCATCAATTGCCTACGCAAAGGACATACAGTATCTAAATGCCCATCGAAATCTCGTTGCCGTATATGTCATCAATCGCACCACTCTCATCTACATTTCGCCACCGTTGGAGCTTACAATTATCCCTTTTGTACAAAAGTTAGAACCTAAAGAGAAAGACCAAAAACCTGTGCCGTTTACTTCGTCGAATCCATCGCATCATTCACCAACCAATCCATCAGTTTCCCTCATCGCATGCACACGCAAAAGAGCGATAATACCAACAGCCTTAATTTACATACAGGACAAATTTGGAGTGATGCAGCCAGCTCGTGCATTATTGGATTCATGTTGCGAATTAAATTTCGTCACCGAGGAAACAGCGAAGCGGTTGCAGCTTAAAAGGCTTTTCTCACATCAGGAAATCTCAGGTATTTCAGATATTCGTTCTATATCGCAATTTGCTATAACTAAACAGATCACGACACAAATACCAAGTAGTTTTACTAACACTTCTAAATGGGATATTCCTGCAAACCTTCAGCTGGCGGATCCTTACTTCTACAAACCGCGACGTATAGATTTATTGATTAATGCAGAAATATTTTTTAAAAGCCTTCAAAAAGTCACAATCTCTCTTGGAAAAGGCACACCACGCCTTCAAAACAGCAAATTAGGGTGGATTGTAGGTGGTAATTTTGAAACGCTTTCGAATTGCTTTCGAATTCCCGCCCATCTATTTGTAATATCACACTAAATTCAAATCCATCTAACACCGATTCGATTCTTCAACGATTTTGGGAAATTGAAAATTTCACTGAAAAGACATCAACATTGTCCGAAGAGGAACGAACGATGCGAACAACATTTCATTCAAAACGTTGAAGTGAAAGGTAATGCACGTGTACAAGTTCGGTTACCATTTAAGGTTTCGCCTACAATATTAGGCAACTCTTTCCATAATGCCAGAAAGAGATTTCTCGCTCTTGAACGTCTTCTATCTAACAACAAATTATTAAATGATATGTATGCAAATTTCATAAAAGAATACATTGAACCTGGGCACATGGTAGCTATAAAAAACTTTGCTTTAAATAGTTCACACTATATAATTCCACATCATTGCATACTCCGTCCACAAAGTACTACGACCAAGCTTCGGGTTGTATTTGACGCCTCTGCGCGCACTACTTCTGATCGCTCATTAAATGAAATACTTATGGTCGGAGCAACAATTCAACCAAAACTATTCATGACATTATTGTCATTTCGCTTGTATCCTTACGTATTAACCACCGATATATCAAAAATGTATCGGCAATTTTTGATTGACGAACAAGATCAACGATATCAACTAATTTTATGGAGAAACGAACCCTATGAGCCATTGCAGTTGTTTCAACTCAAAACTGTAACTTATGGTTTGGCTTCTGCACCATTCCTAGCGATTCGTAGTTTATTTCATATTGCTGACGTCAATAAAAATGCCTTTCCACTTGCATCGTCTGCTATTCGTGAAAGCATTTATGTTGACGATTTGTTAACTATGCAGAAAGCATAGAAAATTTACAAAAATTAAAAGTTGAAATTATAGAAGTTCTTCGTTTTCATGGTCTTTCTCTTACTAAATGGCACTCGAATTCTACACAATTATCTGACGCATCTTATAAGGAAGTTATAATTAAAACAACTGAAGAAAACATTACCAAAGCTCTAGGTATGTCGTGAAAACCTTTAGCGGACACCCTTTGTTATCGCTATGAGTTACCAGATATGCAGTCAGTTACTAAGCGATCTGTCTTATCTATTATCTCCAACATTTTTGATATCCTCGGTTTATTGAGCCCCGTAATCATACGTGGCAAAATATTAATGCAAGAAATTTGGATTCGCCGATTAGATTGGGATGAAACACTACCACCCGATCTACATAACATTTGGTTGCAGATTAAGGCCGATTTAAACTTTATTCATAAAATCGAAGTTCCCCGCTATGTACAAACAACATCCAATTCTGATTGTAAATTTCATGGTTTCGCTGACGCATCAACGCGCGCGTATGGGTGTTGCATTTATGTACGTTCTAAGATAAATCACACCTACAAAACAACATTACTAATTGCGAAATCTAAAGTAGCGCATATTAAACCACAAGCCCTTCCTCGTTTGGAGCTATGTGCAGCACTGTTACTGAGTAAGACTTGGCAAAAAACTAAGGAGAAGTTGTTGACATTCAGCACCAACATTTATTTTTGGACTGACTCAGAAATAGTGCTGAAGTAGCTCAACACTCATGCGGCCACCTTAAATTGCTTTGTTGCCAATCGAGGATCTGAAATTAAAGAAATTTCATCTGGCATTAACTGGAAACATGTACCAAGTACGCATAATCCTGCAGACATTGTTTCACGTGGGAAAAATTCGTCAGAATGGCCTGTAAGCAAGAAGGAAGCTAACATTAAAATGCACGACATGGAACAGCAAAAAGGAATCAACTTCAAGTGTAGCAAAAGCAGAAACGAGGGAAATGTTTTCAACGTCATTATCAACCGCTGTTCATTGTACCACCGATTACTTCGCACAGTTACATACATTTTTCGTGTTTTCAACAGAGTTGCTGTCAACAAGCAACTCACGCCAGCAATGATACTTCATCTACCGGTAGAGGAGCTTGATCAGAGTTGGTGGAGAATCATCATCGCTATTCAACAGATCGAATTCGCGGATGAAATTGAAAGACTTCAAAAACAACAACAAGTTAAATCGTTCATACAGAAGCTGACTCCTTTTCTACATCAAATGAATCTTAACGGAGTGACAGTTTCAGTGCTCAGAGTCGGTGGCCGTTTGTCAAAAGCACCCATACCTTTTGATGCAAAATTCCCCGCACTTCTTCCAAAAGATCATAGATTTACATCATTGTACATAGAGTATCTTCACCGAAAGCATTTACATGCTGACCCAAAGGTTTTAATAAGTCTGTTGCCTCAGCGAGTATGGGTTATAAATGCCCGCGAAATCGTAAGAAAAATTGTTCGAAATTGCGTGCTTTGTTTTCATTACAAACCTAAACTAATGAATCAAATCATGGGGGATCTCCCCGCTAATTGCTAGCAAATGCAACGCCCATTTCTAGTTAGCGGGGTCGACTTTTGCGGCCCTTTCAGTACGACCCATCGTCTTCGCCGAAGAGCTCCATACAAAACATACATAGCGATATTCGTATGCTTTGCATCTAAAGCCATACATGCAGAATTAGTATCCGATTTGTCTACTAATAATTTTATACTTTGTTTAAAATGCTTTGTAGGAAGACGCGGAATACCTCAACGCATTTACTGAGACAACGCCACAAATTTCGTCGGTGCTCAAGACAAATTGAAGGATCTTCATCAACAGTTCTTCAATAAAGCGGTTACTGATGACATCACTAATTACAGCACCAACACTGGTTTCGAGTTTCGTTTTATTCCGCCTCGGGATCCGGATTTTGAAAGTTTATGGGAGGCGGCAGTAAAATCGATGAAATCCAGTTTGATAAAAAACATATCAAATGCACACCTGACATATGAAGAACTGCAGACCAGAAGTATGACACTCGGATGACCGTGACCGTGAATTAGGCTATTCACCTCTGTGAGAGCACCGCTTATGCATATGCACACAAATTCTTACATTCATAAGCATATGTTACGATTTTCTATGATTTGTACATAATTGCATTTTTTATGTTCTCACCTTTTGCTTTGTAATTTGTAAGTAGGTACATATATTCATACACATGTACACATACATAATACAATACATATTTTCATACCTACGCCCGCATAAGCATATACGCATATGCTTACATATGTACGTAGGTAATGAGAAAACAAGCACAAGACGGGATAAAAACCCGTGCTAGCACAAGATTAAGCACATTATTATTAGAGCATTAGGAGTGTTAAGAGTGAAAACAAAATTAAATAAAATCAAATTTGTTAATTGGACATTAATCAATTTTTGGGCTGGAACAATAACCTTATATATGGTTCATAAATAGTTACTATTGATTGGTAAACTTTTATAGTTTACAATAAAAGTTAAATTAACTTACTAATAGTTAATATTCGCACATTAGATACATGTACCCTAATTAAACAATAATATTTTAAATTAATTAATTTAGTACTTAATACTAGTATGTAACTTACATTGTATAATTTAAAAACTTAAATGGTGATATTGAAATCGAGGTTGAGAACTTTCCATCGAAATTTGCAAACATCGAAAATTAATAAAAAACAATTAAAAATTATTTTCTTTTCTATTTGTTACAGTAAAGTATCTACATTATATTTTAGAAATAAATGCATGCAAGTTTCTACACAACTCATATAAAAAGATGAGGGCAACCATATTTAACATAGTACTTAACATAGTGTGACGAACACGGATGATGGAGCAAAATCGAATCAGCTATAAATTGCCAGAAGCAACTAGTTAGCGAATTCCTAGTTGCCAGAAGGTTCTAGAAGCAATGTTTTGTTAAAGAGTTACTATATAAGGGCTGCCGGATTGCAAGAAGTTGTAAGCTCGAATAACGAGCAATAAATGCCAAGTTGTTGGAATTAAAAGTAAAGATAAGTGTACAGCCATTAAATTGGGACATTTATTTAACAATGCAGTGATCGAACTCAAGAGTGAGTTATAGGTAGACGATTTATCGAGAAATCCGTTACAATAGATATATTAGCCGCGGTAGTTACCATGGCTACACGTTAAGAAACATCAAAAATTGTACTGAAATTTTAACAATGGTTACTTCCAGTAACATTTTGTTTGGTTAACATGGGTTACCGATGATAAGGTAACCAACTAAAAACACCTATAAAATACACAAAGTAAATGAATAAGTAGTTCATCCAGAGCACCTACTCTTTCGCCAGGGTTAGCTATTGCGTTTTAATATCACCAAGCAACCATTCGAACGCCTCGGCCGACAGACGAAACTCCTTCCCTAAATACTAATGTAAAGCTAGGAGGCAAGTCAATGTACGTAATTGGTTTTTCCAAATCGTAAAGCATAAAATAAGGCAACTACCTTGGAATTACTACTTGGAAAAAAACACTTGATCTCTCTGTTGGGAAGCGCATTGAGAGCTTTCCTCCGTCCTCTAAATTACTATTAATCAATTCTTTAGAAAAAACAAAAACTTACCTTCTTTATAAACGCCTTTTGAATCTGACTAGATGAGTTACGCCTCCCTCTCCATGCATACCACTCAGCGCCAACACACCACATCTACACAATTCACAAGAAGACTCCACCACGCAGACCACTATGTTAATATGGTACACATTACATCGCACCACAACTCTACACAGCTTGACCCTAAAAACAGACTACCACACTACATAATTTTTAATAAACCACGGTTACTGCCGGTATAATAAATTTTGAATTTGTGTCCTCTTGGTTTTAAGTGATAAAAGTGCTAAAAAGGTGAGTGTGTGTGAATTGAAAAGATTATTCATGGTCCTTCGCGCCATAGTGAGCGGCACTATGGAGTGATTAAACTTTAAAACCGAAAAAAACCCAATACCCTTTATGCAGTGGCCAAATCAACATTTCCAAGTATGTACAAAGTGCATTGGTGGTATCTACAACGTCGTCTACAGACCGTTTTTCATTTAAATAAACTTTTATCCCTTAAAATAGCTTTATTCTTAGCAAGATTGGTACCGCAAAATTTTCAACTATTAGTCCGTATACTACCTAGTAAGCCGTTAACTCGAATCTTTCCAACTTCCATTCCTTGGCAACAGCGGCCGGCAGTTATTTGAATAATTGCGAATTTGAAAAAATGTAAAGTTTAATTAGTAAAAATTGTAAAACTACTTGGACACAACCTGCTTCCGAGCAGGCCATTCACTTGGCACCTACTGTTTGTGCAAATAAATTTCGGCCGCTATATCAAAGTTTGACCCACCGCTGCGCCGTTATCTGGCAGCTTCAAGTTATTTTGTAGAGAGAACATAAAACTGTCAAACCACTAAATAGCCAAGAAAGTTGTTTAGACAATATCAATATTATTTTTTGACAATATTGAACGTGTAGCCGCAGAGAACGTATATCATAGAGAAGGTTCATGGTGTGCCGATTGTCAAAATGTTCCTCTTGACGGAGGGTTACTCGCCAACTTAAGAGGATCTCACCACAAATAAATTATAAGCGGATTTCACCAGAATTTTACCCCTGCGGAGCGGAAATAACAGAATTGAGCATTTTGTGTGTTAAATGAGAAAAATAATGCTAAATTCAATGTTAAGAAATGTGCGCTTACAGATTCGTATATTTACAATGCGCAAACGACTTTGCATATAATTTTAAGATACAGGGCGGCTCACGAATCGAGCTACAAAAATTAACCGTAATAAGTTTCTTTTTATCAATATTTTTTGTATTGTATAAAAAATTTTAATATATTTTATACAATTAATTATTCCTCCATGCTCAGCCATGCATATTGGACACCTAATTAGAAAATTAATGCGGGCTGGAGGGTTCAAGTCGGGATTGCCTCAAATATCTATTTAATGGACTGCTTCAGCTCAGTCAGATTTTTGGGTTTAATTTTGTACACCTCTTGCTTGACATAACCGCATAAGAAAAGACCAAGCGGTCGCAAATATTCTTATACATATATATGTAAGTATATGTATAGTTATGTGTGCATATAAACAAATATGAAAGCACCCATTATAATTGTTAATTTGTCTATATGCAACGTATGAATGTAAATATGTACACTCATTGTTTCATGGGAAATCAGAACCATACACACTTTTACAAACATACATCGCATATGGCAAGTGCAAAATCAACCCTTATTCATATACAACGTGGCATGCGTAAATGAAAACAAAGTCAATAAGTCATGTGCATATATGCGGGCAGATGTTTGTACAAAAAATTTGAATATTTACATACGCACATTCTTTGCCAAATACAGTCAATCCCGGTTAAGTGCCAAAACCAAAGATGCAGATTTTTTGTGGTTTATAGTACATAAGCGATTTTAATACTTAAGCGATTGGTACCAAAAAACTAATTTCTATGTATTTAAAAAAAAAAATTACCGTTTTCCTTAAAAAATTAAGAAAAAAACGTGAGATGCAGCAAGACACAGGCAGATAAGAGGGATTGGAGGAGTGATACTTAACCGGGGTTTACTGTATACATAAATCAGAGGAATATTGAATATTTTCTTTAAAAAGTTTATTGAATTGTAAATCGACAAATATAGTATGTTGTCACTTTTATTCTAAGATATTATATTTTAATACTCATATTTGCGGGCTTGTCACTTTTCCCTTCTAGAGGGAATATCAGAAATTTGTTCAATTTATGATTTTTATCTTTCGCCATCGTCGGGAAAAGACGCTTGTAGGCAAAATATGCTGGGGGGATGTGAGGGTATCTGTTTTTATGAATGAAGCGAGGTTGCTTGTTAAAAGTAGGCCTGTGTTCATGAATGAAAATGTTGTTGTTGTGTAATTTACTATAAATTTGGGCTTCGGCTATTTGGCTTGTGACGATTGTTGTTTTTGTGGAACAATGTTTGTAGTTTTTGCGGGTGACATATTTACATGTGTACGCACACACATATGTTGGTTGGTTTGTATATGCATTATATGTTCGGCCTTTTTATGTCTACATACATATATGCGTGTACATATAAGTCAATGCGCACGGATTCAGAAATTCAAATCATAATTTTATCTCTTATCAATACACTATATGTGCGCGCATTGATTTATATGTCAACATATATATGTATGTATATATAACATTGCCGAACAAATAATGCATACACAACCCTACAAGAACAGTGACGGTCATATGATGGGTAATATGACAGTCATAGCTGAAAAAATTTTGTCTGCGCGCAGAAAAGTTTCTATCATTTTCTTAAGAGCCTTGTGCAAAAACTGATGTAAACAAACGCATGTGTGGGAGGTTGCATCTCCCTTTAACACAGGGGTATTCGGAATTGATTCGCTATATATCAAAACTTTTCATTAAAATTAGTTATAATAATATACATATATATAAAAAAAGAGTGTAACAAAAATATATTTAAATATTAAATTATGAAAAGAAATTTTCACTTAGTTCCATGCTTGCTACTCTCAAAAGCTCTGCTATACGCATTTCTCCAGTTCATGAATATTTCGGAATTTAAAAATGCCTAAATAAAAATAAAAATTAACTAAAAATATAATTTTATTTTAAACTTAATAATAACTTACGTATACAGCGCACTCCGCATATAAGAAACCCGCTTATAAGAAAATATCGTTTATAAAAAACAAATTAAAAACACCGTGAACCATTCAAGTATTTTCAACCAAAAAAGACCGCTTAAAAGAGGACCGCTTATAAGAAAAAACCGGATAAAAGACAAATTTTTTCATCACGAAAACTTGTCTACTCCTATAAAAACCTCTTAATAGAAAAAATTGTAAAATGTTATGCTGACAAAACTTTTCCTTGAAAGCATTGAAACCTATACGTGGCAACGCTGATATTGTGACATTTGGAAAACAGCTGTTTTGCATAATTTTCTAAATATTTTTAAATTCAATAAGAAAAATGGAAAAATTAAAAAAAAAATACTTTGTCCCTAAAAACAAAATTAAAATATTGGAAGAAATGAAAAGTGGCAAAACCCGGAGCGAAATAACAAAAAAGTTTAATATCGCAAGCAGCACTCTTTCAAAAATTTTGAAGAAGTCAGAGGAAATTAACCAGAAAAGTTACATTTGTAGAAACTTGGAACAAAAAAGAGCCAGAAAGTCAAAATATGAAACGCTTAATAAATCAATGTCGCTTTGGTTCAATCAAATGATGGAGACCAACGCCCGAGTAACTGGTCCAGCGATTTTTGAAAAAGCACAGCAGTTTGCTATAAAATTGGGTATACCTGATTTTAAACCTAGTCCGAGCTGGCTCCAAAGGTGGAAGAAAAACGAAAATATACATTTTAGAAAACATCATGGTGAAGCTACTTCCGCGGATAGTCAATCGGCTGAAGAATTTAAGCAAAATGTGCTCCCACTTTTACTAAAAAGTATGCGTTAGAAAATATTTATAACGCTGACGAGACGGGTCTTTTTTATAAAGCTCTGCCTACTGGGTCCTACGTTGCGGGAAGCCAAGCATCCAGCGGGTTTAAGACGCCAAAAGAGAGAATCACATTGCTTTTTATAACCAACTGTATTGGTACAAACAAATATGTGTATGCAATCGGC